GACGAAGGTTCTTTAAGCTGGAGATGATTCTCATCTTCTCAATCAAAGCTTTGATTCCTATTGTCGTTTTATGACTACACACCACCCTCGGAAAAGCGCCAACTTTCATTCAAATGGTTGACGGATTTGCGATAGGATATACAGAGAAGGGATAGGGGCTGAAAAAGCGACACCTCACTCACTGTGCTTGCGATCGAAGTTGACCTCACCCAAGACAAGGTGCATAACAACCCAAGGTGACTTGTGCCATTCCATAAGCAGAAGTAATCTCTCGAAGTCCTCACCGAAGGTGACCTGGTTCCATCTGTCAGCACCTCCACGAATTCCTGGGGGGTACAATCCACATGCAGAGCGCCTTTTTTGATTGCTTATCGTTAGTATGCCGTTTTATTTTTAATTTTGTTTTGATCTATTATGCGATGTCCACTACCTACTTCGATGTGTTTAGAGTTTGTTTACAAACGTCGTGGGTTTCAATCCTTTTTTTTGCTTTGAGAAATTCTTTGTGGGTTGCAAGATGTGAAACCAAAGACAGTTCTTCCTTGCTAGAAGAGGCAAAAGCAAATGAGGCGGCTGAAAACGGCGTTAATAGTCGCAACTGGATTCCTGGGATCATGTAGGAATTTTCCAGAATTGCCAGCTTCATGCGGTACGGCCACGAGTGCTGCTTAAGTTACTGCGTTTCTCTTCGTCTTCCGGTCTGGGTTCACTGAATGCCGTCCGATACGCTCGGATACACTGATGTCCATGCCCAACAATCAGAAAACGATGAAATAGCGGAGCGACGAAGCGACCATTATCAACATCGGGCAATTTGGATAGAAAAAAACCTGATGTGGAATCAGGAATACCGTGGCTCGACGAACTATCGCACTAAAACGACCAAGCATTCCGGACTAGCTAGGAAACACATCCTATATTCCGAAATATTGGGTTGGCACATAAGTACTTTCGTTTTTTTTCAACCGGAAATTTCGTTCCAAAGATGAAATGTTTTGCTAGCAAGCTTGATATCATCTGATAGGAAACTTCACGTAGTTTTAGAATATCAAAACGGCTTCGGTTGAGGGATAATTTTTGTTGAAAAAAACGAAAGTACTTACGTGCCAACCCAATATTTCGTTTCAAAG